GCTTGAGGAGTGCCCTTCTGGTCTCTGTCAGATAATTTTAGAAGGTGGAAATTAGTAATTTGGGATTGAATGTCACTGCAGGAGCTCAGGCTATGGCCACTTGTGAATCAGCCTGGTTTTTTTGGTTATAGGATTAGACTTTTATCAGACCTAACGCTGTGTATGTTTAGTGTAACTTTATTTTACAGACCTTAAATAAGTGTCTCACTTGCTTGTTATCGTTTAAACAGCTGCTGTCTTTTAAAAGTTCTGTGCATTAAAGAGTGATGCTGGTTTAGCTAGGCAAAGTTTGTATAGAGGTTTATACTGGATGGCCAGGGAGGGATGGGCAGTCTGCCTCTGCAGAGTCGTTTCACTGCCACTTGCTATGGCTTAATAAAACCCCCACTGTACCTGTTGCCTCTTTATTCCTGAAATAAAGAGCAAGCAGAGAGGCCCTGGGACTCTGTCTAGGAGAATGGTAACCTGGGAGCACAATGCAGCTGTGACTAGGCTGCTCCTGAAGGCAGCTCAGGCTGCGTGGAGCTCACAGCCTTGCTCAGCACAAGGCCTGCCTGCTGCAGCCTGCCTTGTTTACTGTGGGATCCTGCCAGATTTAAACCTCTTCAGGGTGTTTGTGGAGTGCTGCATCAAATCCAGAGGGCTTCCAGAACTACAGGTGCTCCAAGCACAGCATTTACACATTCTGCAGCACAGTTGCTGCTGATGCCCTTCTGGCTACCTGCCAACCCAAGTTGGCTACTTGCAAAACGATTTATCTTTTTGTCTGTAGCGTGGCTTACAGCTTGGATGGACTGTATCTGAAAAGTTATATTTGTTTCTCTACTTGGCATCCATTAGTCGTTCTGGTAGCTTATAAATCCTTAACGTGCTGGAGAAAGCAGCTGGTGTTAAAATGCTTAAATTCATCCCCTTAGCATAATATTTGCACTATTATTGGCTGTTGGACAAAGCTTTTAGAGCTCTGCAGTGGAAACATTTATTAGGACACAATTAACTTTTTGGAATTGGAGATGTGTAGAACTCAGGAAGCTAATTTTAAGTACAAGTGTTCACCTGTCTGCTGTATGTTGGTCATTCTATCAAACTTCTTAGCTCTTCTATCCAAGCATTCTGCTTAAGTTTTGTCCACAGCTTCAGTTTTAGCAGCTAAAAGCTTGCTGAGATGCAATGCTATTTTTGAAGGTGTTTTTTCCCATTATTTTGGTTTTCATGGGAAATGAGTTTGAAAAACCTTTTGAACATCTGTTTTCAGAGTTATTCTGTAAGAAAATAACTTTTGAGAAGGTAACTTTTGTGCCTTTAAAGAAAACTTGAACTTTTCTCACTTAGATGTCGTGTAGAAGTCCTCTTCCAGCAAAGATGGAATTTGTATCTATTAGTGTGCTGATCCACAAATATTTTAGAAGGCAGAGTTCCTTTGGAAGCATAGACTATTTTTTAAATGAAATATCAAGAGGGTGTGGTCATGTATGTAACCTTGGAATTGCCTGTACAAGCAATGTACATTAAATCTAAAAACTTTGGAATATAACTTTGTACTTACTTTTAAGCATATTGTAAGCTTTGCTTTTTGGAGCTTGTGGCACTAGTAGATCTGTGTGTATATAATTAATGACTTTCTCTCTTTTACCTAGTTTGAAGCCCTCTGTTTTAAATAAGAACGTAGCTAATGGCGTATTCTTCATTTTCCTAAATGGACTAGCCTTTCTTGTCTATTTTCTCTACTCATTGGCGTGGTGAGGGTGAAGTCCTGCAAGCCTTGAAAACTCAGCTGCTTTGATTGCGGAGGCTTTCATTGTTGGGAATTTTGGGTTCAGTTCTGAAAGGAGGAACTCAGATGTGAGATTCTGCATTCAGCTGTTGGCAACCAAGTAGTTTCAGTTGGGCATGAGACAAAAACTGTGAAACTGGAAGATAAACAAGACGTATCTGAGTGCTCTATTTCAGCCATAACTATGGTGTTGCAACTTCCTTGCTCTTTAGGCAAATTTTGATTTGCCCTTTTTCAGAATTTTAGACTACTTTTTCTACCATGTGTTCTGAATATCTTGCCACCTTGTTTAGGAGGTGGCATGGTTTTGCACATTGACTAGACTGCCCATACCCTTCAGAAATTAAATTTTTATGGTTTGCTATCTGTCAGCTGTGGTATGCTTTAGGCTTATATATAGGGTTTTTCTGTAGTGAACAAAAATAGTCTGATTTTTCCAATAAAGCTGTTAAGAAATACCCCGTGAATTTTATTAAAACGTAAATATATTTGTAAGCTTACTGAGACGGGAAATTCCTTTTGATTTAATGTGAGACAGATAAAATAGAACCCATAAATAATGTTCAATTTTGCTAGCAAAATATATTGCTTCTGATTGTACCATCCTTGCAGGATGCAGAGCTTCTAGGCTGTTCTACTTGATTGTATTCTGTCAGGTAGGGTATTGCTGATAAGAAGATAAAAAGCAATTAGCATTCTGTTGGGAAGGCTGCCTGGACTGGTTTTTTAATGGTGAATTCAATGCACAAATTTCAAACAGTGAAATGTGTCCTTATCATAGTGTGATACTTCTGAAGTAGGCCATCAGGATAGCCTAAAATTAACTGCAGGCAAATATTTCCTAAAAATAACTCTAGAAAACTAAAACTTGTGTGCCTTCTGGAATGGAAAGCAGGTTTCTCAACCTGACAGATACTGGAATAATTAATTTGTGAAAACATTGCTTCAACTGGTTTTTAATTTAATTTTTAATTGTTTTACAGATTCATCTGAGTTGCACTTGAAGCCGCCAAAATGGTTCTAGCAGATCTTGGAAGAAAAATAACTTCAGCATTGCGCTCGCTGAGCAATGCTACGATTATCAATGAAGAGGTGTGTGGTGCCACTCACATCTATTAAGCAAAGTTCTGAGAAAAAGTTTTCAAAGGCAGATGAGAAGCTTGAAGTAGGGTGCTGTTACCCTGAGGCTCTTTGCTTCCTTCATGTATAAATTCCTAGCTAAAGGTTTTAACCCCCTGCTAGTACTGCCAAAACTTGGAACCAGATTTAGACACGTACAAACACCCCGGGCAACACGGGTCCCATGGTTGTGGGGTCCTTGGGCGTGGTGGCTGTACCTGGGGAGATGGGCTCTGAGCAGGTGAGGTTGGAGGAGGCAGCAGATGCCCAGTTTGGTGCCAGGCAGGCTGTGAGACTCTCGGAAGTGTGCAAGAACAAATAGTCAAGACGTGGTTCTGGAAGCTGTTTGACATGCTATTTTTAGTTACAAGTTTGAAATTATAAATATTTTCAGTTATATGGACTGAAAAGCAAGAGGAAAAACTAACTGTTGTGATGGTTTAGAAGTGCCTTTGAGGAAATAAATTGCTAGAAACTTTTTGGGTACACAGACATGGGATTTAAAGGAACTAAAAAGTAGGCTTATCAAGGGCTGTAGGGTTGGAACTTGTGCATAGAGGAAAGGTTTTAATAGATCTTCAGCTGGGAGATGGGACATCCTTAACTGAATGAAATATAGCCCAATTAGGGTTTTTCAGCAGTAGAAACTTCTTCTCTTGCAAGAGCTCAAGCTGTGTGAATGAGGCCATTTATGCAGGTGTTACTTTCAAAAATTTTTTTTGTTCAAGACTTTTGTCTTTGAGAAGTTTTAGACCTATTAAACTGGGTTCCAAACCAAGCCACCTGTTTGCCTAAAAGGCATACCCCACCCAGAGCAGCAGTCCAGTTTGCACTGAGGTTACAGATAACAGCACGTCCATCATGCATTTGAGGATTTACTGAGATGCTGTTCCAGCTGTCTCTGCGGAGAGCCCGCTGGCAGGGAGGCTCAGGAGGCCCTGCTGTCGCACGGGCCGCTGTCGTCCTCAGCGCAGCAGCCAGCGCTCTGTGTCCCTTTGTTAGAGGGTCCGTATTACAAACCGAGGATCCTTCTTTTCCAGTGTTTGCTCTGCCAATGACCAGGCCCAACAGAAATGATAGCACCAGCAGAAAGAGAATCCAATACGCAGACTGTATTGTAGACACAAATGTTATGATATGAATGACCGCCGGGGGTGCAAACAGGTCAACCAGCTCATACATGATCAACGCCACCCCCAACGATCCCACAAAAGATGTGACTTGGCCCACAACAGGTGGTATAAACAGTGAGCCGAGGTTGCCCATAGTTGGCATGGGAAACAGCCAGACCAGCAAGCTGAACACATAAGAGAAAGGTGCCCACATAGTGACTCTCACCCGATCGGCCCACGTTCGCAAAGGTCTTAAGCAGACTGGGGCCCAGCTCCAGGGAGAGTCAGGAGGTCTGCCCTGAACCAGGAAGCTCTGTGGAGTGCACTCCACAGACAGACACTCCTGACTCCCTGCCAGTGGTCCCAGCTTTTATCCCCAAGCAGACACCTGACCTTTGTCAACTCAGTGTGGGACCCCTGGGGCTCATTTCCCTTATGGCTCTCCCTGCAGGGCCGGCCGCACCCTGGGGGGAAGCTATAAGGCAAACTCACCACCTCTGTATGAAGGGCTGTGGGAATCACCCATATGTCAACCTTAATTTGGGGCTCAGGGTTCAAACCCCAGCATTTCAGTGTTGCCCTTTGAATTGTGTTTACGTAGGAATAAACACATAGACTTTTTCCTGTGGCAGTCAATATAATGATAGGGCTATCTTCATTTAAGTTAGAAAAGCGTTGGTTATACCTTAAGTACATTTTCATACTCTTATTTTGAACAAATCCTGGTCTAGCCAGTACTGTGTATTCTAAAACCATTTTTCTTTTATATTCCAAAGGTTTTAAATGCTATGTTAAAAGAAGTATGTACGGCATTACTGGAAGCTGATGTTAATATTAAACTTGTGAAGCAACTCAGAGAAAATGTCAAGTAAGTGAAGTAATCAAAATGGATTTAACTTCTGTTGTTTTTAAAAGCTGTAATTTGAGGCTACAAAGTATAAGTAGCTTTTAACTTTATAGGGTTTTCTTAGGCACACCCAGTTTACCTTTAACAGGAAAATAACAGTTTGAACTAAATCTCTAGACACTTTTATCAGAAGAATCTTCACCAAGTTTAGCCAGTTACTGCTGTTATCATCTTACATTGCAAAAACCTGTTTCTGTCATCAGTTGAGCAGTATAATAAACAAGTTTTGTTACTTCCTAGACACCTCATCTTCACATATTCTGTGCTGGTTATAAATAGATCTGCGTATATGATCAGTACTGTTACCTTGGCTATTTTCAGATGTGTGATTCAAGTAGATGCAAGTCTGGCAGATGCAAGTATTTCAGAAACCTGTTTTTGTCCTGTGTATGGAAGTAGTATCTCCAATGGATGTCTCTTCTTAAACATGTCCTGTCTGGAAACTCAGGGCAAATCAGAGTGCTGTTCAGGTTGCAAAGGCTTCATTTATTACTGGGTTAAACCAGTGCTTTAAGTTAACCCTACTGCTTCACCATTTTCCTAAACTCAGGTCTGCAATTGATCTTGAAGAAATGGCATCTGGCCTTAACAAAAGAAAAATGATTCAGCATGCTGTCTTTAAGGAGCTTGTTAAGGTAGGACTTTGAATTTCTGTAATATGCAACTTCTCTTGTACAGCCTGGGCTTTCAAAGCAGTACAGTAGCAAGCCAAGCTTTAAGGTTATTGTGTGGTACCTGTGGCTATGTTTTTTGTTGTAAGGCTTCTTACTAATGCAAACAGTAGTATTCTGATTGAAAAGAATTCCTGGTCATCTTTCAACCTAACTTAAATTTAGCTTCCAAGTTCAGCTGTTATTGCTCCTCAATTAAAATTTAAAGATGATAAGTGTAAAGTACAGTTTATTTCTGGACTCTCTTTTTTTGTTCCAGAAACACACCTTTGCTACCTGAATGAAGTTTTATTCAAACTACTTGTAAGCCTTTGAAAAAGCATTATGTAACAACCCAGCAGTTTGTGGCAATGTTGCTCTTTAATCTACTGGCTTGGTCAAAACAGCACCTGGGTATCAGCGTTCTGTGCTTGTTCCAGTTAACAGAACAGTCTTTTGTTCTTCTGTAGTCTGTGCCCACATATATGGTGGCTCTCTGGAGTGTATGTACCTTCTACTCTTTCCAGCTGTGAGGCAGCAACCCTAAAAATCTTCTGTACTGTATGATTCTCACCAGAAGAGGTACATCTTGAGCGGAGGTGGTGGGCTGGAGGTCTGTTTCTGTGTTGGTTATGCAGGTGCCGTATATCCAGACCACCCTGACTTTGGTGCTTGGTGTTAGAAATTCAGTTACTCTTAGCAGAATTATTATGCATAACACTATGTACTACAGATACCTTGCACGCACTGTTGCTGTTCACTGTAAATCAGCAAGCATCTAAGCCAAACTAAGACTAGAACATGTGAAAATTGGTTTTCTACTTTGAATATAAAACCAGATACCGCTTTTCCAATTCAGTTCTGCAACATATACTTTGTTCTTTAGCTTGTAGATCCAGGAGTCAAAGCATGGACACCTACCAAAGGAAAACAAAATATTATAATGTTTGTTGGTTTGCAAGGAAGTGGTAAAACAACGACCTGTTCAAAGGTAATTTGCACTGAATCTGCGCAGGGTTTTTTTTCTTGGGGGAAGTGGTGAGTGTTGTACTCCTTTGGTAAGATTTGCTTGGGATCTGGGCTCTCTGTGTTGGTAGGAAAGCACTAACTGGTAACGATGTAGAGATACTGTTGCAGAGGGGTTCCTGACATGAAATGCATGACCAAAGTATTCTTTTGGGGGCATTTTATGGCTTGTAGGAGCTGTATGGGTAAGAAAGATTCTATTCTTTGCTTTCTGAGTTTAAGACTAGTACTATGAATGGAACCTCTCTCATTCCATTTCCTATTTAGGGGAACCAGTGGAAGTTGGCCTCTGTGTTAGGTACCTCAGTTATGTATGGGTGGCATGAAACCTCTACCAGCCCCAAATTATTTGAGGAAATTTGGATTTATATTTTTAAGGCTGAAAAAGAATGCTCTGAATCTGTGTTTAACCTGTTTATGATGGTGGTTGGGAGGAATAATACCCTGTGGAAAAAGACTGATGTATCTTTGTTGCTCTTTTCAGTCACCTACTTCTGAGATTCACGCAGAGTCTATATCAAATATATCACTGCTCTGATCTCTTAAGACTTTCCTAGTGTTTCTGTAGGCAAACTATATTTTGGAAGCTTAGTTTTGATCAGTCAAATATTCTCTGAATGTATGTTGTACCAGTGAAGCTGAGTGTTACCAGAAAGTAAGGATTCCATCCATGGCTTCAAAACATGTCCTTGCAACAGAAATCTTTGTTCTTCTGGAAGCACAGAAACAAAGAGCTGTGCAAGTTGTAGCTGTTAGAGTACCTAATGCTGAAGTACTGATTGCTTTAGATAGGACTAGCTTTTAGAAGTTATCTGCAGTGTTAACACAAAGCAGAATCCAGGAATTAGTTACTTGTACAGTGTTACTAAGCAGTCTCGGTTATCAGAAGGCTGGCTTGGCTTTGGGTCTTCTGTGTGCTTCATTGACTTATAAGCTGTTATGTGATGTCATGCTTTCCAGTGGGATTCTGGTGTAACTCTTTATTTTGGATTTCTTTTCACAGTTAGCCTACTTCTATCAGAGGAAAGGTTGGAAGACATGTTTAATATGTGCAGACACATACCGAGCAGGTAATGCTGTCTTTGATGTGGTTCTTTATCTCTAATACATACAGAGGTTTTTTAGTAGTCTCTTGACTATACCTATCTTACAGGTGCTTTTGACCAGTTAAAGCAGAATGCCACAAAAGCAAGAATTCCCTTTTATGGGAGGTAAGTATCTTTCAGAATCTGTTTGGAGAATGATTCAGCTCCAATGACGTATTGTTCCTTATCGAGCGTCTCACACTAAGCCCCATTCAGTGCTGACCAATCACTTAAATTTTGTTATAATACTTGCTCTGATCAGGTGAAAATTCTGCCTAGGTGAATATACTTCTGTCAGCAGTAGCAAGTAGGGACAGTGTCCAAAGAGATCAGGCATCTGGGCAGAATTCCCTGGAGTGTTTTCTTGGTGTATAGCAAGCAGTTTATAGGCTTTTACCAGACATGTTCAGATTTTTTCAGGAAGTATCTTTAGAGATTAAAGGATATGCTTTTTGGACCATTAATTTTTATTGCCAAATAGGGGCAGCAGTGAACCTAGAATAGTTTTATAAAGGAGTAAATAACTTTCCCTGAGTCTTCACTGAAGGTGTGCTGTCTAGATGCTCAGTTAAATCTTATTTCAGAAAAGGGCTTGTAGAACTTGGTGCAGCTTTCAGCAGGCAAGACAGTCCTTTGTGCTTCAGTTCACTGGATAATAAGGGCAAAGGGCTTAGGAGGCCATATTTTTTAATAAATTTTTGCTTGGCATTGGAGGAAGTCCCTCTTGAAATCCAGATAGATTTACAGTTAACAAGTTTATGGTCAGGTGAAGAAAGCTTGAATTAGTTTATCTGGGAACAAAGAATTGCTTGTGTGTGTATATATTTATATCTCTTTCTCTTTGTGATAAGTTATACAGAAATGGATCCTGTAATTATTGCCTCAGAAGGTGTTGAGAAATTTAAGAATGAAAACTTTGAAATAATCATTGTTGATACAAGTGGACGTCACAAACAGGAAGACTCTTTGTTTGAAGAGATGTTACAAGTTGCTAATGCCATTGTGAGTAGTTTGAAGAAATACAATGACTTCTGTTACATTGATTTGACAACAATTTATTTATGCTTATCTCCTAATGTTCTGCATGGATTTTGCTCCTCTGGAACCTGTCGGCACTTTAACACCTAGATATTTTTTTTTTTTTTAGAAATTACAAACAGACATGAATAAATGAGTGCTGGATCACTAGTACTTGATAGTAACTTGTGTTAGTTTTAATTCTTGTTTCCAGTTCAGGGATGCCTGCACATCACTAGACTACTGTTCCTGGTTTAACTTTTCCTTTTCAGGCTCTCTGAACCAGTGTGATCTGGTTTCCTGCAGCTACGTGTACTGAATTTTCTGTGATTCTCACGAACAATTGCAACATGACTGGATAACGTTCCGCAGTTTTGATATGTAAATGAAGCTGGTGTTTCTCCCGTGGGTTTAAAAAGTCTGGCTATTTGTTCGATTCTGTGGTCTTTCATGACAATATTACACTTCCACAAGACTCCTGTTAACATCCAACTTGTTTTCAGAGGAATGGATGTCTTAAAGTTCTTAATGTAGAAATGAGTGGAAGATGTTGCTAGCCATTAATTCCTTGTAGATACTGATGAGCTTATTGGTTCAGATACTGGCTAAAATCACTCAAAATTGAAGTACTAGCTGTAAACCTATTAAATCTTAATATTCTCTGTTGTAGATGTATTTCATGTTGTAATGCAGCATCAGAGTTTTCACATGGTCCTTAGACAATACTGTTTATAAAAACAGTTGTCCTTTTGTTTTAAACTGCACAGCTCTTCTGTACCGTGGTTGCAGTAAGTTCTGCTACTGAGCATAATGCATTAATGCTGTTTAGGAAAGCAGGAAATGATTATTTTGTGTCTCTCTCATTTCTCCTAGCAACCAGATAACATTGTTTATGTGATGGATGCTTCCATTGGCCAGGCTTGTGAAGCTCAAGCTAAAGCTTTCAAAGATAAAGTAGATGTAGCTTCTGTTATTGTTACTAAGCTCGATGGACATGCCAAAGGCGGTGGAGCTCTTAGTGCGTAAGTATTGTGATACAGTAGTGTCCAGCATCTGGCCGTGCGTGGACAGCTGTGCAATGCCTCAGTGTCTCACAGAAGCCTGTGAAAGTGTCACTGTCACAGTGCACAGAATCCGAGACGTATGTCAGTAACAGTTAGGTTCCTACCCTACTTCTGGTGGGCAGGATCACCCATCAACTTTTCGGGTCAGAGCTGGGTGTTATGATGCGCTTCCAGTACAGTGATGCACACGGTCACACTTCGTCATCTGAAAGAAACATCCAGCAGTTATATTTACTGCATCTTCCATAGCAGGATGCTTTTATCACAAATACAGAGTGGCACTTAATAGACACAGCTTCCATGAAAAGTTTTGCTTCTCATTTAATACCCATGATTTTTTTTTTTTCCAAAAGGAGGGGAAAAAACTCTAGTGAGCCGTAACTAATGGCCTTAAAACCGCTATGCAAACCAAACGTCTGGATTGCCAGTGTCCAGCAGCTAGTCTGCAGTCAGCTTCCCAAATTCCATTCTTGTTGGACTTCCCTAGTTCTGCATCTTGACAGACTCTATTGACTGGAAAATGTTCCATTTTCTTTAGACTTACAATGGCATGTTGGACAAACCTAGAGCTGTGTTTCAGCGATACAGCTTGTATGCAGCTGCCATGATTTTCCAAAACAGTCAAAGTTAACTGGCACCAACTTAGTAAATTACTATCTGACTTCTATCTTAAGTGTTAGAGTTCTTAAAGTCCAAGATTTATTTTGCTGTTATTTATAAGTGTAGTGAGGGAAAGCTAAACTTAAGGGCAAAACGAAACTATCGAAAGCTGAGTTTATCTAAAAGCTAGTGCCATTGATTGATTGGTGGGGAAGATTCTGGGTTTTCTTATGTCTGAGTTTTTTTCCTGTGTTGAAAATGGGATTACTGCCTGTGGTAGGAGGTACCTTGAAGAAAAAGTAATCAGTGCCTGTCTCATTTGACCTTCCCACATCAGGATAAAATGGAGGTGATTTATTTTTCTGTCTTTTCAAGTTTCTTAAACTCAGCAGTGAAAATAAGCAAATTCTACTTCTGTTGATGATATTTTCAAAGTAGGATTTGTATTTTACAAAGTACTAACTAGAGAAATGTCTTGTCAGCTGCTCTCAGCTACCCATCCTAAATTGCATAGATAGTTTGAGGAGTAAGAAAGATACTTCAGAGAGGATGCTTTGTGTTGATGATGCCTAGCTGATCATGTTAACAGGTGGTACAAAAGATGTGTTTTCTAAGAGGCCATTTCATAAAATATATTTTACTGCAGAGTTGCTGCCACGAAGAGTCCTATTATTTTTATTGGAACTGGTGAACACATAGATGACTTTGAACCTTTTAAAACACAGCCTTTCATCAGCAAACTTCTTGGTACGTACTATGTGCAACTGTCCTTAAAAGACCCTCTGAATTGGATAATAGGAAGTCCAAGTGTAATTTTTTAATCTTAAAGTTAAGGGATGGTTAACTTTTTTAATCTTAACTTTAGAGCTGGTTGTGTTTTTTTTTTTTTCTAGGTATGGGTGATATTGAAGGACTGATAGATAAAGTAAATGAGTTAAAGTTGGATGATAATGAAGCACTCATAGAAAAGCTCAAGCATGGTAAGTTATTCCCAAGGCCTGAAGAGCAGTTGTGTTCCTATGACCTAATCATGGCAGGTTCTCTCAGATGTCAACTGCAGAGTTAATTTGTTTGGTTTGTAGAGACAAGTAACTAGTGAAGAATGGCTCTTCTTTCTCTAATAAATGTAGCAGGCAAGTAAATAGTTATGTTTTTCCAGTGATGTTTGTCAGACTGTCTATAACTGCAGAATAACTAGCTTAATACTTGCGTCTGCAATCTAAAATGGCTTACCCATATTAATAGAAGATAAGTAGGTAAACCTCTATGCAGTGTAGTATTACCTTGTAAATACAAAGAATAATTGAGAAAGGACAGTAAGACCAAAATACTAGTGTGACTTTTGCTAATATTCTGTTTTCTTGTACTTCAGGTCAATTTACTTTAAGAGATATGTATGAACAATTCCAAAACATCATGAAAATGGGACCGTTCAGTCAAATCTTGGTTAGTTATCCCTCAATTTTATTTCATCAGATTTTCATTTATATTTGACAAACTTCTTCTGTAAACTCTTCACTGAAACTGGTGTTATAGTCTGTGCTTTTATGTTTCTTTCAAAAGGTGAAATGATTTGCCTACTTCAGTACATTAGTACTGAAATTAAAACTTGCTGTCCATATTTCTGGCTGCTTAATTAAAGTTAACTCTTCCTATTCTGACACAGCTTTTTGTTTTCCATTTTTAAAACAAGGGTATGATCCCTGGTTTTGGAACTGACTTCATGAGTAAAGGCAATGAACAGGAATCAATGGCAAGGCTAAAGAAACTGATGACTATAATGGACAGTATGAATGACCAAGGTAAAACAAACTTCACCCACTATTTCTCCTTTCTTGAACAAGCTTATTTACAGAGATCTTTTTGGAAACAAGCTGGACATAAGGCAACATGTACCCATTAATGTGTCTTAAGACCAAGTGTGCTGAGGGTGTAATTTAATTGGGGGACTTTTTCTATCGTGGCAATGAACAGCTGCTTAGTATTTATTCGCTAGAGTATTGAATCTCAATTACTTATGCAAAATTCTGCATTGTCAATTCTAAAACTAGGGTTTTATTTTCTGGCTCAAAACTAAATTCTCAACAATAACAAGTTTGGTACTAGCTTTAACAGATTTTTAATGCAAGTAACTGGATGGATTTTTCTTTCCCACACTGTAATTGCAGAACTTGACAGTACAGATGGTGCCAAAGTTTTCAGTAAGCAGCCGGGAAGAATCCAGAGAGTAGCAAGAGGTTCAGGTGTTTCCACCAGAGATGTTCAGGAGCTTTTGACCCAATACACTAAGTTTGCACAGATGGTGAAAAAGATGGGAGGCATCAAAGGGCTTTTCAAAGGTAAAAGTCATGTGTGAACACAAAGGAAATGTGAAGATGTCAACTGGATGTTGGGAGAGGAGACAGTGAGTGTAGCTCACTGTGCTTGTGAAGTTTGAAAGCTATTTTATGTAACTGGCGAGAGCTGCACTGTTCAAGATGCTGATGTGTGACTTAGAAGTGAAAACTCCTGTGTGTTTGGCTTTGCCAGTGCAGCCTTCCATTACTAAAATACTGATGCTTCAGTCTGGTATGTGGGGTGCAGGGGCCATTCATCCTTAAAATACCTTTAAGTGGCTGGTGTGGTAACTTTTGATCATGGATTTGAATCTAGAATTAGGTGAAGTTCTAATTTATTTTTAGCCCCATATATTAATGCACTTTCTTACGAATCCTTCTTTATTATTTTTTTTTTTTAGGTGGTGATATGTCAAAGAATGTAAACCCATCTCAGCTGGCCAAACTGAACCAACAGATGGCAAAGATGATGGATCCAAGAGTTCTTCATCATATGGGTATGTGTTGGCTTTTTACAACTTCAAGAGAGGACTGCCAATTACAGCAGAGTATTTGAAATATAGAAGTGAGGAAGGTGATGTAAGAATGTGTGCAGTGTGTATCAGTACTAAGTATTTCTAGGTTTTCTAACAGGAATCAGAAAGTTCAGTCCACGTGCTATGAATGCTTTGCACTTTTACCGATGCTTAATGTAGTCTCTTCATCTGGAATCAGCTTTCAAAATGAGCACTTGAAGTGGTGTCTGGTTAACTAGTAAAGTGATCCCTTGAAGGATGACTGTGGTAAAGCAAATATATTCCTGAACTTCCCTTCTTTTCGCAGCTTTGCTTCAAATAATTAAATCTGACAAGAGCAGCTTTTAATAAAGTTTCCCCATACTGGAACCTTCCTAATGGATAATGGTCATTCTTTCAAGGGTTTTTTCTTTATGCACAGATCATCTGCAAAACACTAGGCTTAAAGGAGGTTTTAAGACCTTTCTGTAATTACTCACCTGCCCGTTTTTGATGGCCATTTAAACCTGGCTTGACAGTCTTGGGTTTTTGCATTTGTATATTACTGAAGTCGTGTGTGTGCTGTAGGGAGGCCTCAGAAGCAAGATAGCTGTGCTTCAGTGAATTAACACGCCCATGTTCTCACTTGTTTTCTGCAGGTGGCATGGCAGGTCTGCAGTCAATGATGAGACAATTTCAACAAGGTGCTGCTGGCAATATGAAAGGCATGATGGGATTCAATAATATGTAAAGAAGCCTTAATAAAAATGGACTTGGTTGATGCTTCATTGCAACTTCAGTGAAAGAATTTGCTTTCTTCCTTTTTACAGTGATGGGGGGAGTGGTCTTTTGAAATCTTATTCAGGCTTCTCAGTTTCTACATCTAATTTCTGAAAACTATTTTTGCTTAAATTAGTTCCTCTCCACTAATACCTGATGGCACAAAGAGTAACTCAATAAAACAAAAACATGATGTAAAATTTTAATATTTAGAGACACTTTTTAATTGTTTACATCAAATGGCAGCCATTATATTTGTAAACAACCCTGATCTTTGGTTATAGTAACATAAAATGTCACAAATATACTGTAAAATAAAATTTAAGTGGTTATAAATAAGGGAATGTCCTGTTTCTTCAGTTCTTTCACAACTGTTCCTTATCAGCATGTAATGAGATGATTTCCTTAGGTTTTTATTTCTAATGACTGTTGTAACTTGTGTTTGGTACAGGTACTGTAAGAGTAATTCAATATCTGTAATGTGCTGTTGCTCCAAGGGGAAACTCCTGAGCAACATTTTTAGAAGATGGATGTGCTGTGCTCAGGTTTGTACAAAACTTTGTTCTCAAGAAATTTACTGTTCTTTCACTATACAGAAATAAGTGACTAAAACCATATAGGTATGCAGGTATCAAGCTGTCTGATACACTGAAGATAATCTTCAAACTAGGCTGCCAATTAAGCAGTTCTTTTGTTATAACTTCTAATACATGCTAGATGTGCTTGTACTGAACATAAACTAAAACAGACACAAAACTGACAGAGCATGTTGTCCCAACAGCTACAGTCTGATCTTAATTTCCCATAGCCTTTTTTTCTTCTAGTATTTCGGTTTACTGCATTGGTCACAAAAGGGTGGAATCTGCAGGTGCACTTCAAAAAGTAGACCACATGAACCTTGAAATCCAACATTCATCTTGGCAAATATGGTAAAATCTTTCACCCTTATCTTAAGGCAAGAGGATATATTATGAATTTATTTTAGTCTACTGCAGAATGCTTGGGTTGTAAATGGACATCTCTTGCTTAGGCAAGATAAAAATCACATGCAGTAATGAAAACAAGTGTGTCCCTCTCTCAGCCAGTTCTTTGAGAAGGTGGCAGCTAACAGCTCATACAGGTAATTATGCTCTTGGGCTAATAAAACACAAAGTATGTTGTAACTTAGTTTATAATGTGGAAGTATCTTCTGTGCAATTAGTGGGATGTGTATTTGGTGTATGGAGGATGCTGAAAAATCTGCAGGTATGCCATTTACCTGCAGCACTGCATTTTATCCATAGCATTGACTAACGTAAAAGGATCAGTTAGTTTGGTCTTAGTATTTTTAAATGTAACAAGAATGAGTCCTTGCATGTCACCAGCCTGTGGGGGAGTTGTCCTGGGCTACTGAGTGGGTGAGTTACTAAAACTTGATTTTATTTTTTTCTAATAGTATTTTCAGTTCTTGAGCAGAACAAGCTAGCGCAATACACAAAGATGCAGCAGAGAGTAGCAAGCGTGCTGGTTCGGGATGCAGCTGGCAGGGGAGAGCGGACAGTCGAGTGCTTTTGGTGCAGATCAAACGTCAATGGGTGTATTGAGGATGAGCAGTGAAGCACTGCTGGACATGCTCAGCAGGCTCTCCCTTTAGCTAGCAGTTCCCTTTTTATTTCCAATTCATTGCATACCTCCAGTTTTAGACTTTCCTTCACCATTTCCAAACTACTCCCACTGCTACCAGACAGGAAGAGGCTGTCATTAGCTGTGTGCTGGCAGAGGCAAGGGCAACTTCAGAAAGCGTTTCCCTTAAAGTGTAAGATGTGTCAGTTGCTATTTCTAAGGTATACACTGGAATAAAGAAATAACAGTAGTCTGCTTTTACCTTAGCATGCAAAGTAGAAAACATTTTGGAGCCTGCTTGGAATAAATTGCCTGAAGATCTCAAGTTTAAAAAAGAATAATTGTTGGAGGCACTTAAAAGGAAAGTGCAACTGTCTAGGAGCACCTATAAAGTCTCATAGCTTTATAGAAGAAGAATTTTAGGGAGTACGTGCAATATTTTTTTTTAATGTTTGGATTCTGCAGAGCACAATGTGTAGGAGAAAATCCTGAAGTTGCGGAAGAGAAACTATCATGTTCTGAATTGGAGACTTAATTACATTAAGCACTTGAGAAAGAAGCCAAGTAAAACACTGCCAGCGAGTGCCATGAGTAACAGCCCTCCCAGCACCATGTTTATGCATTAGGTTTCACAAGATCTCACCAAGTTCTGCAGAAAAGTTTTCTCTGCCATACAAGAAGCTTGGGATGTTAGAAGCAAACTTTGCTGGAAGTACATGGGAGACTGAGGTCAATCTTTCTATCCATATCTGACTGAAAGCTGTTGCTGTTGCTTTGGCAAGTTTGCTGGTTTCCTGTTGGGACACTTGGCTAAAGGAATTCCCTTGAGAATTTGAAGTAGGTATCAAAGGGTTTAGATAATCAGGTAATTGTAGCGCCCAGGGAAGGCCACTAGAAGGTGCCAATGAACAGAAGAGTGATGTAAAAAATCAGTTAAGGTCTATTTCTGTTGTAGAAGTGTACTATTATCTCAAAATCAGTGATGGCTTGTAGTCACCCTTTTCTGTGGTTACAGGAAGTTAATAGCCTCTGATATCAGGCACACTAATATAGAAATAAGTATCTGTTATGTGTTTACTTTTACAAAATGACCATTTTCCAAAAAAGTAGAAGACCTTCAGCTGTGGAGTATTCATGTGCTGCAGGCTCTAATTCTTTAGAAGCTGTTCTTAATGGTACAGGATGGAAGGATGGCCCTTGCTTTCATGTTACAGCCATTGGCTTCAATGCTGTAAAAAGGATGTTTCAAATGGTTCCATCTCCAGCTGTCTTCACCAGTAGTTGGTGTGGGCCAATGTGCCTCTTGTCCTAGCTCAAGCTGGGCCATCACCTGCAGTAAGGAGGCCTCAGCACAGGCTCAGGGCTGCCCCCTCCTCCACTGGAGTAGCTGAGCAAACCAAGCGCCTGCCAAACGCTGTTCCCTGCCTGCTGGGAATAAACGTTATTTGCTCATCAGACGCATCCCCGGCACCAGGGCACTCCTGGGTTGTGTTCCTTTCCTCTCCTTTGTCCTTTAAAATGTGTTGGAGGGTCTGAGCCAACACAAGGTGCTGAAAGGCTTACACCATCTTGGCTCCTCTCAAAGGAGAGAAGGCCTCCTAAATACTGTCAGGTAACTCCCTGTGCTTCTCCAAATATTATTCTATTATTTGCAGATTTTTACAGCATCCTAGGCAGATGATGTTCATGTTTCCCCACACCACGAAGAGCGGCTGTGCACCCGGCCGGGTCCGGCTG